TGTTATTGAAAGAATGAGAAAACAAAGATGGATTTTGAAGCAATGATGAGATGAAAGCACAATGCTGTGTTGGGCAGTGGGTTTATACCGTGAGCTTTAACATTATTAAACGACTTCTCCTTCCACCGAGCTAAAAAATATCTTTTCTCCTGCTCTCTATTGATCTATGCTTTAATAGAATGTGTTTCAAAGAATTATTTTGTTCTGGGTTGAACCTTGTTCAAGACCAAACAATAGCTCCAATAACAATTCTAGCTTCAATCCTTTCTCCTGCTCTCATATTAATTGTGACAAATTAATTGTCTGGAAATGTGGGGGATTTGTATGAAAATGCATAATACATGATCCCTTAATTTTGAGGCAGTTTATTTGAAAACATATCACATGTAAAATCACTAAAATGGTTGCAGCTACAGTATTTTGATTGTTTTCCTGCTCTGTAGATGTTTTTTCATAATCAGTTTTCCAACTCCAAGTCTTGGCTGACCTTAGACTCACAGTCATGGAGACATTAGTTATTCCTTTTTAACCAGTTAGTGAAGAGTTGTAATATCTGCTGTATGTGATCAGTCATAATTTACTGGAATTTGACCAAATTTTAAATAATATTGTACATGGATTAAATTTTATATTGAACTTTTGTTCCAGGGGATCCCAATCTGGTTTTAGAGGTGGTCGAGGGGGAGGCAGAGGAGGTGGTCGTGGTGGTGGACGAGGTGGGGGAGGATTCCGCGGAAGGGGTGCACCACGTGGTGGTGGCAGAGGCCCTCCCAGAGGCGGTAGCCGTGGTGGTGGCTTCAGGGGTAGGGGGAGATTTTAAAATGTCAAGTGTAGTTTTGTTTACTTACTGCTATTCCCCTTTAACTATAACTTGATTGTTTGAGTATATTATTCAGTACCTACAAGTTGTGTGTTTTAAGCATATCTATAGTTTACCAACTTGCATTACATATCACACAGTGGTGATATTTTGTTGTGTTGTCAAACAGAACTATTTGCTTCGAAATACATTAACTGCAAATCTTCAGTATTCCTCCGCATTTCAATTTCGCTAGAAACAGTTGTGGTTGGTACCTGCGGTCTGCTAAGTAATAAAACTTGCAGTTCCAAAAGTCTTGTTTCAAGCACAATATGTTGTTTGATCTCTGGCTCATTATCAGATTAGGTGAATCTTAATTTTGTGTTTCTCCATCACTACCAACTTTCCAAGTTCCAACTAGAGAAGTTCAATGAGCTCTGGAACAGAAGTATGAAGAAAGGTGTAGGATAAGTATGAAGAGAGTAGGATGGGTCTATGATAGGTGTTCCACTGCAGCCATTGCTGGTGAGAAGTGGGAGAATTGGAAAAAAACTTCCTCATCTCATGAACGCTAAAGTCTGTGACAGACTTGCAAATGTTCTTTGTAAAACTAGTATACTGCAACGCAGTGAGGATGTCAATGTTGGTATGGGGAATCAATGATATTCCAACTATTTCCAACTGATGTCACTTTGATCGAGCTGTTCTTATTACTGATCTTATTTGTACAAGAATATTAATTAAGCAATTAGAACCCATGTTTCATAAGTCATTTATCTTGGCTTTTTATCTCAGACTACTGGGCGCGGGCATAGGATTCGGACAGTAAGGGCGTATGTTTTACCAGTGTAATGGACTTCTTCCAATTCATATATACAAAATTTGAAAGCACAGAGCCACAGATGCAATTTGCCACATGGTTAGGTACCCACTATAAGGAACTTTTTGCTTTCCTTCTTCTCAGTAAATGGTAAACAAAAGAAACAGATGGAACACATAGATGTTAGAAGAAGGAAAAAGGTAAAATTATGCTTAACAAATTGCCAACCACTGGTACTGGGAAGATAACTACTTATCCAAGAAATAATATTCGTACACCTAGTAGACATGAATAACTACTTGTGCTAAGCTCATGTGGATTAGTAAAATGGTTTGGCAAGTAAGACTGACACGAGATATTTGGAGCCTTCTTTATTTTCGTCGATATCAATATAAACAGCATTATCAGGCTTCCCAACCCCTAAGGATGGTTGCACGGGCAACACGATTGACTCCAAGGGTGAATGCTCCCATTCGAAGATCACAATCATGGCTTTGGCACATCTCCTTCACATCTTTAAAGCCCTTGGTCATGTAATTCTTCAGCTCAGTGTTCACCTTCTTTTCATCCCACATAAAGCCTTGGATGTTCTACAAGGAGGAAAATTTCATTAGGCTGACTCATTGAAATATCAATTTCAAGTTCTGGAATATATGATTTTAATGCAGTAAAGAAGACGAACAAGATATCGGGATCTGATGGAAGGAATTCTGTTACCTGAACCCACTCAAAGTAACTCACAGTAACTCCACCTGAGTTGGCCAATATGTCTGGGAGTATGACTACACCTTTCTTTGATAAGATCTGCAGAAGGAGACAGGTTTCTTAGAAAATTGTATTTTTTGAATGGATTGTCTTTCTCTTATGTTTGACTTAAGTTTATGGTAACTCACTGCGTCAGCCTCTGGGTCAGTAGGATGATTGGCCGCTTCAATAATGAATCTTGCTCTGATTTCATTAGCATTATCCCTATAAAAAAAAACAATAATAAAGATATTAAGAACATGTTTTCCTGAAGATTCTGTTACTAGAGAGTATGGACTCTATTTAGTGAGGAAACAAACTTGTTAATTACACCCCCAAGAGCAGCAGGGATGAGAACATCACAGTCCTCTACCAGTATCGATGCTGGATCAATTGAATCCCCTCCATTGAAACCTTTTACTCCACGTTTCTCTTTGGAATGTTTGAGTAAGCTAGGTATATCAATTCCATTGCTGTTTTTTATTGCGCCAGTAACGTCACTTATTGCAACAATTTTACCACCACATTCGCTTATGAGTTGGGCAGCCCAGGATCCCACATTTCCGAAGCCCTGGAGTTCAAAAAAAATATGAGATGACATAATAAGACAATGCTGTATACTGCAACTACTCTGCTATTTTCTGTTTAGAATAGTCATGGTAGCTACAATTTTCTATCAATGGCTGTCGCAGATGTTTACTTTATACAAGTATAAAGCAATCGAGATCTCTAAGTACGGAAGAGTAGTCATGTTAGAGGCCGTTCTTCTAAAGCACAATCACATTGTTTTCTCAAGAAGCTAATTCCACATATATGGGTAGTTCTTTGATGTCTAAAAGGATAGAAACTACGACAATTAGCTAAACTAAACATAAGAGAAAGGTATTAACCTGTATAACAAATCGTTGACCGGCGATACTTTTCCCATACTCATTAAGCAGTGCCTCTGTTGCAAAAAGTACCCCTCTTCCAGTAGCCGCATCTCTGCCCAAGGATCCACCAAGATCCTAACAAAGAGCATCGGAACATTCAGCTTCAGAATATATATAGTACATACGATTTTTCTCCAGATATGGGTCAAAAAAATTAAAGCTGGCAATTTTCTAAACCTAGGTGAATGGAATAAACATAGTCATAAATCAAATTCATAAAACAATTACAAATCCTTTTTCAAAAGTTTGGCTTGGCCAACCTTAAATGCAAATTTCAACGTAAAGGGACAATGATCTATACTTACAACAGGTTTTCCGGTGACTACAGCAGGTGAATAGCCATGAAACTTTGAATATTCATCCAGTATCCATGCCATTGTCTGATTCACCATCCCAAAGAGCATAGTTAGACATGAAATTCTGCAATCCATACTAGTTATAAAGTCACTATAGACATGGTTGGAAACATAGTTCAAAATGCCGATTTCGGGAGAAATTTAGAACCCTGGAAAACGGTTTTCGCCAAGATTTCGATATAAGAAACTAATTTGAAAACCGTGTCTTCGTGAATATTTGTAGATCTGATTTCTCAAATATCAGCATAATTCGTGGGATATTCGCAGATATCCCCAATATTTTGAACTACGGTTGAAGACACAATAATTACTCTAGATCCTACCAGAAGAAACTCGTACACCAAGTATTAATAACTAAGTCCAAACCTGTGGATTGGTTCCCATATCAGGTGCTGGAACATCAGTATGAACTCCAATTAAATCATGTATCTTCTGTGTAAAAACTCTGGTAAGTCGCTCAAGTTCAGAGATGCTTAATTCCCCTGGGTCACATCCTATACCCCCTTTTGCTCCACCATATGGAATATTAGCTACTGCTGTTTTCCATGTCATTAGTTGTGCTAGAGCATTCACCTCGTCAGGATCAACCTGCAGAATCAATGGTATCAGTTATAAACTATGGTTAAATGCAGGGCAATTTCTACATGATCGTCCACAATCTAGCAGTGAAGCTGTTTTGAAGAAAACGTTTTTTCCATGTTTAGTATAAGATATAGTGGAAATGAAGGTATCTAAGTTTGTTGAAGTATAAATTCAATAATCAAAATTAGAAAGTCGAAAGGGAAAATGGTATTTATAGAGACGTTGCCAGTTGCCACGTTGGTGCTTATTTTTGTCTCGATTATAATGCACTTATTTCATCGTGTCGAACAAAACTATTTGTGGTTTAGTTGTTTGCAAAGCTGGCAAATTGTGATCTAGCCACTTCAACTGTTTTGAATAGGTATTTCGTTATTTCTTGACTTTATAGATTAAAGACAAAGAAACAAACCTCTGGATGATATCTGATTCCTCCCTTCATGGGGCCTCTTGCATTGTCGTGCTGAATCCTGAACCCAACAAAAGATGCCAACGTACCATCATCTTTTGGTATAGTGCATTCTACCTGAATTATAAGAAAATGAAA